CAACAAATAAAAAACTAACAAAATAAGTAAAATGAATTGAAATGTATAGAGTAACATACTTTTGTTCCTTTGCATACTTGTCTCAAGCTACTGTATTGCATTTCAAGAACAATTACGTTCTCCAAAGGAAAATCAATTGGTATAGAATCCAAAGGAAATTCAAGCCAACACAACCATCTTAATCCTGTAGGGAAATCTGCATAACATCCATCCAGTCGTACATGACTAAGATGGAGTAGTTGTAAATTACGCATCTTTGCAAATGCATTGGTTTCCAAGACTATCTCATTTGTGTTTATTGGATTGTTTGCAGGATGATTACGCATATCCAGGACAAGACCTTGGATTTTTTTTGTACCCTAAAGGAAAAAAAAAGACATTATTATGCATAATTTTCACAAGAAGAAATACATATATAGACATAAAAGGCATGTTTCTTACATTCTTTTTCCTCAATACTTGGAAAGAATCCTTATGGCGCCATAATCTACTACGTTTCTCAGGCTCTTCTGATTCTTGGCGAACAATTTCTCTTCCCATAGCACGAATCATGTCATGCATTTTCACCTTGCCGTATTCATCAAGTGTCACCAAGCATCTATCAATGAGATTTTGCATGCCAATGATTGTATAGAAATCACATCCATCGAATATTCTAACAATGTAGCTTTTGTTCCTTCCTATTAGGAAACAAGCAATGTGGAGGAATAATTTCCGGTCATGGTCATCTTTTAAACTTTCATAGCTTATTCTTAGTTTAGTCATGATTTCACCATCAGGAATAACTTTTAGCTTCTCCAATGCACTTTCCCATACACCTATACTTCCTCCTGATAAAGAAGAACCCAAAACTTTTAGAGCTAATGGAAGTCCGCCGCTATGTTGCACTAGCTGTTTTGAGTGCTCCATGTATTCTTCTATGGGATGGTCCTGGCCAAAAGCATGCCAACTGAAAAGCTTTAATGATTCATTGTCATCCAAAGTTTGAACTCTGTGCACCTCTGTAACTTGATCTGCCTTTAACAACCTTTCACACCTAGTTGTTATTAGTATCTTACTTCCAGGATAAAACTGATCTTTCATCCTTAGGATTGCATCTAATTGGTCCATATGGTCAACATCATCAAGAACAAGTAGAACTCTTTTAGAGCTTATGGCCCTTTCAATCTTAATTATTCCCTCACTAACACTGTGTATTTTCACTTCTCTGCCATTCAAAATATCACAAAGAAGTTGCATTTGTATTTGAACTAAGCCATTTGGTCGATCTGCTGTTTCTTTGATATTTTCAATGAAACTACTTCCTTGAAAGCTTCCAAAGTTTGAATTGTAAACATGTTTTGCAATGGTTGTCTTCCCTATTCCAGACATGCCATACACAACAAATATACCAACATCACTTGATCCATCTTGGAACCACAAATTGATGCGCTCGGCTTGAGATTGAATTCCAATCAATTTTGGTTCAACACTCAATGGCATGCGACTTAACTTGTCTCCTATCACTTTAACAATTTTTTTGATAAACTTTGACTCGTACCTAAGAATTTGCAAACAAAATGAAAAATGAATTGGGGAAATTAGATAACTAAAACATATGTTGATTGCCTTTGTTTAAATAAGAAAAAAAAGAGGACTGCTGACAAAATTAAATTGAAAAAAAAAAGAGAAAGGAATACAGCGCATAATTTATACGAACTATAGACAAATACATCACATATCAAGTTACAGAGAAAGGAATACAGCGCATAATTTATCCAAACTTTTTTCCACACCAGCTTTCAAAAAAATTTAAGCAACTGGAAACCAGTAGATTAACATTGAAGATGACTAATCCTTCAGTTGAGTTGAGTGTGATTTCTATAAGTTGACCTAAATTGAGATTATTATTCACTACTGAGATTGAATTAATAAATACATACAAATCTAGGTCCCTACGGATCATACATCAAATTGACCCAAGAAAGAAATGAGAAATGGAGATAATGAAAGTTACCCATCAGCTTGATTTTGTAAGACCATGCCTGCTAGGTCTGCAATCTCTGTAAGTGCCTTCCTCCATCCCTCCACCTTTTCTGACGACTGATTTTTCTGGCTTCTAGCAAATGCTTTTCCAACACTTCCTGTCTGCTTCCTCACGTGGGACGGATCGACATCGTAGAAGACTGGTAAAACTACATGGTCCGAGGTGGTCCTCTTGCGTTCAAGGATCAGCACAAGCTCATCAAGACACCACCTGGATGACGCGTAATCTTTCGAAAACACAACAACAGAAGTTCGCGACTGCTGGATCGCTTTCTGCAGTCCTGGCTTTATATATTCTCCTCTCTCAAGTTCATCGTCGTCTCGGAACGTAAGAAATCCTGCGTTGTTCAAGGCTGTGTAGAGGTGGTCGGTAAAAGTCTTGCGAGTTTCTTCGCCTCTGAAGCTCAAGAACACGTCGTAGCGATAACTCCGAAAAGTGTTGGAATCAGAGGAGGTTCCTGGAGATGTTCTCACAAGAGCCATTGATGTGGATCGATGTTCAAACAAAAAAACTGGTGTTTGCTAGGTGCAATGCAAATGTCTGTGAGCAGGGGAAATATGTACATCGGTCTTTTCCATCTACTTCCAGAAAAATTTACAAACAATATTATAAAATGGGTCGTTCCCATCCATTGACCCAAAAAGCGTTTCTTTAAGACCATTTCGGCTAAAAGCCAAATTACCTACCAAATTACCCCCTAAACACTCTCCAACCCATGCTAAAATTTTAGGCTAAATGCTAAATGCTATTTCTGGGCCAAATACCCCCAGCTTTCCTCGGGCTAAATGCGAAATGTTTATCGGAATTTAAATTTTTTTAGATTAAAATGTTCATAAAATTAATTTACAATAATCTACATATTTATTTTAAAAAAAAAATTGATTTAAGAAAAAAATTTAGGCTAATTTCATTCTTTAATAATTCCGGGCTAAAATTTTAGGGTAGAAGGGTTGGAGTAGAAAGATGTTTCTAGGTTAAAAGCTAAATTTTCCGGGCTAAAAAATTTGGCTTTTAGCCCAAGGGTTGGAGATGGTTTAAGTCATGGTCGGCCGCTAGTGGCAGAGATGAAAAGAAAAAGAAAAGATTCCTTCTTGTTTTATGTGTGATTTTATAAATAACAATTATTTTGGTCGTTGCTCATCTTTTTTGTAATAAAATGCACTTTTAATTGCACACATCTTTTGTGATAAAATACAATATATTTTGATCGTTGCTCAATACTCATTTCTCATCCTTGAAGTGTTGGAACCATTTCTACCAATCAACCCACCAACTAGTGTTTCCAATATCACCATGTCGAAGGTTTTTATATTCAACCGCAAGATTATTGTCCTAAAGATGATGTGGTTATGAGACAATAATTAAAACTTGATAGAACCGTATAATAATGTGGCACTTGTAATGTTCAGTTAGTTTCATAAGGAAAATCTGGAAAAATTTGAATCTTAATACATGTATGCTTGAACTTAAGATGGTTGATCAAATTGTTGTGCAATTATAAACTTGCTGCATCGTAACGAGATTCGGCAAGTTGTGTCATATCCTCAAGTAGGAATACTAATTTCTCATTATACGAAATATAATTTACAATGTTGCTCCTTTCCGCTAGTAGACATAATGGTGAAGTCGACTCTCCTTTTATATTTTTTATTTTTTATTTTTATGCATTCTTCTACCTACCCTCCTAAGCTTCCTTCCCCTTATCCCTTCCTTTCTCCTTTTCTACTTTTCCCTTCTCCTTTTCTCTATTCTCCGAAATTTCCTCTCATTGTCCTCCTTCCCTTTCTACTTTTCCCTTCTTCCTTTGTCCTTTTCTCCTTTTCCTTCCCTCTACCCTCCAGAGTTTCCTTCTCATTTTCCCCTATCCTTTGACGTCATTATATTTGGGTTGAGATGTGGACCTGTTATTGATGGATGAACTCAATGCTTGTTTTGGTCAAGCAATTGGAAATATCTCTTTTGCTCAGGGAAGTGATGGCACTAGTGGTAAGTGACGAGAGGGGACTGCGTGCAGTGTTTTTCTTGATTGTTTATTATTTAAAAGTGGATGAATAATGTTACAGTCTAATAATATTTCTCTTCTTTTGGTTTGATTCTTGCTAAATGTGAATTTGAATCATATTATTGCTAGTCCATTGTGAGGCTTAGCCAAGTCCATTTTCTTAACGTAGACAATATCGTTTATTAAAAAAAAAAAAGTAGATGAATAATATCAACTTGATCTCCTTTCATATTTCATTTCAACGTTGAAAAAGGTTCAACTTGGTGTACTGCTACTTTTGTTGATTATTCGTTACTTTATTTTATGAAAGATTCTTTCAAATAACTAAATTTTATTTTTAGAGGCGTCATTACTCATTCAATATTTGCCACGATTTTCAAAACGTACATTACCTTTCTAATGGACGATTGCCACATTATGTCTTTATATCCCCATCCAGTTGATAAGAATGGTGGAAATAAGAGTAATGTTATTTATATTATGTTTTTGTACAATATTTTCATACCATATTCGGTGGCATTTGATGTGAACAGACACATCATTTCAATTAATCAGATTTTTAAATTTAGTTCATTATTTAATAAACTAATAATTAAGAAAAACTAGTTAATTAAATTATGATTGTGGCATACAAGGAGTATTTCTCCTTCATTTTCTCGAGTTTTGCAAATTTTTCAAATAATGTGGTTGTCCACATCAGATGCCACCTAAGGTGGTATATAAATGTGGTATAAAAACATGGTATGAATAACATTACTCTGGAAATAAAGGATATGGCCATACATGACATCCAAACTGTTGAAAGACACTTCCATTTTTTTAATGTCTTGTACAGATTATATTTTATAATTTGGATAAATGAGAGCTTTACAAATTAATCAATGCACTGAATAATATGGTAGCAAAAGTCCTCTGTCGTAAACTCTATATGTTGATGAATGTCTAAGATAGAGTTCACTATAAGAAAATAAGTGAAAGATTATCCTACACATTTGCAATAAAAAGACAAATAACATGTGTACACATGATGTAGAATTAAACAAGGTAAAACTCACCACTGAGAAAATCCTCAGACTCTTAAGCTAGAACAAACAATAAGAGAAATGAGTATGGAAAGACTTACAAAACTCATTAACTAGACCCACATACTAGTAGGCAATTTTTTTCATTGCGCTTTGCTACTTGATCTCTTCAGCCTTCAAGTGAAAGTGGCACGACACTAACGCGACCGTCAATCATTGTGTCCTCGAACTTTGCAAGATACTAACGCGATCATGCAGAATGTATGAAATGTAATGATTTTTTGAAATCAACCAATTACGAAAATCACAAGGCAGATTCTCATAATTGATTTCTAATTGAAGCACAATGAAAAATCAGTGATTAAAAACAAAAATATTTTCTTTGAAAACACATGGACACAAAACTGATTTTTCTCAAATAAAAACTCTGATGCCGACTCACTTTAAAAGCCAGAACATGCAACATATAAGTTTTTGTTGACTGATAATAATTGACTCAAGTGAAGGCCACATCATCTGCCACATCATCTGCCATGTCATTCATATTTCTGTTGAAAGTTAGTTAGGATGGTGCTGTGTAGCTTACACAGTAAGCAAGGTAGTTAGGCTACTATAGGGATATAAAAAGCTGATTGCAGCTTATTGTTTGTAAGAAAATATCATTCTATCAATACAAAACCTTTCATATTCTTTCTAAGTTTTCTTCTATATTCTCTGTATTGTTTCTTTCTTTTTCTTTCTGCAAGTCTGATCTTCTTGGTTAAGATGGTATCGAGCCAAGGTTGATTTTTTTTTTGGGTATTTTCTTCCGCTGAGAAATTCTTTGGGATCGATCGTTGAAGGCTGTGGTGGAGTTCTTGGAGGATTGGTGAAGTGCTTGAACGCTTGCTGATGAATTTTGGGTTGAGGGTCATTCAATCAAGTTGTTGGTTTCTTTCCTTATTCTTTGCACATCAAGTGTTTGCGTTTTTGCTTCAGTGAAGATATATGGTGAATTGGAATGTTTTCTTTGGTTTTTCATATATGGGTTATGTGTTGGATTTGATTAAGGCTGATGCCAAGATTTGTTGAAGATAGACGAATTATAGTTGTGGTGTGATATGATTACAGTTGTTCATTTGCGAAATTGCTGGAATTTCAGCTTTTGAAGTATATACATATAGAAGGCCGATGCCAAGAAGTAGTGAGAATATATTGAAGAGGTGATCATTGTTGAAGTTTGGAGTTAAACATATTTGTGATTGAGATTGATTTCTTGTCAGTACTTTGTGATAAAGATGTCTGATAAATCAGTACGCATTGAAAGTTTGCTTGGTATGTTGACTGTGAAGTTGCAAGATGACAATTTTGTTAAGTTGAATTATCAGTTTCAGTCGGTTTTACGAGGGTATGATTTCTTTGAATTCTTTACTGGTGAGTCTCCTTGTCCACCAAAGTTTGTGGTTAACACTGAGAATGGAGTGACTACAGAAATCACAGCAGCTTATAAATCTTGGGTTCAGAAAGATATGGCCCTATTGAGTCTGTTAATTGCTACTTTGTCGGATGATGCTATGGAATATGTAATAGGGTGTAAAACGTCTCATGAAGCTTGGATAAATTTACAAGACCGCTATGCGTCTGTGTCCAGGGCTAGGATTAATCAACTCAAAATTGAGTTTCATACAATTCAAAAAGGCAGTGATTCTATTGACAAGTATTTGCTTCGGTTGAAAGCCATTCGGGATCAGCTTGTGTCTGCAGGGGAGAGGATTACTGATAATGATTTTGTTATTACTGCTTTATCTGGATTACCACCGGAGTTTGATATTGTCAAGGCTGTAGTTTTAGCAAGGGAGACTTCTATTCCGCTGAAAGATTTCAGAGCGCAGTTGATTGGTGTTGAATCTGCTATGGAAGCAAGGGTCTCTACGCTGGCAAGTGGCATGGCTGCAATGTATGTTCAAGGAGATAAGGTCACAGGTGGTCATCAGAATTCCGGGTATTCACAAGGAGAGAGTTCAAATGCAGGATCCCGAATTGGTGATATTCAAGGCTATCAAGGGAACAACAGGTTTCAAAACAGAAATATGAATGACATGGCAGATGATGTGGCAGATGATGTGGCATTCACTTGAGTCAATTATTATCAATCAACAGTTTTGAATAGACAGTGAAGAAAATATAACTTTCTCTTTCTAAATGCAGTGCCGACTACATGTGCCGTATATGAAAGCTGCTGTATGAATTATGCTCACAATATAACTCTCAGCAACTACAGAAAGCCACTCACGCTCAGCGGCAGCAATAACCAAAACCACACAAACTACATTAATGCATGCAGCACCCAAAACTGAAATCCATATTCTAATACACTCGGTGGTGTGCTAATGCATATGCATTGACGAACATACCTGAGTGAACGTCTCTGAACATGAAAATTTAACCTCAATACGAAAGAAATAAATCCGAACATGAATATAAGATGAAAGCATGCAAGCAGGAAAGATGACAGAACCTTCCGGACGACAACGTAATCCCCGAATGACAAACTTAACTCCACATCAGTTACAGTGTGGAAGGTGTACATTACCTGCGGTAGGCGAAAAGAAACAGTTACTAGAAACTAAAGAGTCGAACAGACTAAAACTTGGATACAACAACATTAGCATAAAGATACCTCTCCTAAGAAAGAGTCCCTCAACTCTGTCAATTCATCATAGGTTTCAGAAGCAAAGCTACGGCTGAGATCCTTATACGATGGTGGTGGAGGCATAGCGTCCTCTGTAGGCGGACTATGCGATGCTTCAATTCGCTGCTTTTCTGACAAAATCTGTCCCAACAAATAGTGTCAATGATCTCTTCTTTTAGTAGCAAGACACTAGAATAATATACAGCCAAATGAATTGGGAAAAGAAATTGTCACGCTGAAAGGAAGACTTTAGGATATTTCACACCTCGCCTTCAAGCTGATCAAGTATCTGAAGAATGTTTGGATGGTAGTTGCGCTCTGCTTCAACCTGGAATGGGGACGAAAAATGATAAATTTACAAAATTAATTTCCTTTTCATTCTTGTAACTAGAACCTTGGGAGTAGCCTCTTCATAAATGGGGGTAAGGCTAGCCGACATTCATCTCTCCCAGACCCTGCGTAAAGCGGGAGCCTTGTGCACTGGGTACGACCTTTTTATTCTTGTAACTAGAACAGGCCAAGGTCTTAATACTTAAATAAAAAGGGGAAGGCAATCCGTTACCATCGCAAGAAGCCGCTGAAGAGTCAATCTTTGTTGTTGACCTTCAACAGCAGCCATAGCTGCACTAGCTTCTTTTCCCAATATTGCAACGCTAGACTGCAGCTCCTGAAGCTCGGCTTCAGCAGCTTCTAGTTTCATGATAATATCAGCATTACCTGCAGAATCCGGTGCTTTGGTCTAGTGTCTGGAAGCATCTATAGCCTATCCCGGTGCAAGTTAGTATATATAGACAAATCTGAAGGAGTAATAAAAAAACCAAAAACCAAATTACAACAAAGCTTCAAGTAATGAAGCAATCTCAACAAGTTTACATTAAATATCTTAAGATTTTGCGTTCTCTATGAATACCAATGCATGATTGTCTCAAAATGAACAAACACTTATAAAAGAAAACAAAAAAAGTTAACCGAGAAAATGTACGATCACCATGTAACATATAAAATCACTGTAGTATAAAATTGGTAGGAAACAGAAGAAACTGCATATACCTGAGCTTCAGCTTCTCGCCGCATTCTAGCATATCGTTGAGCTAGATGTCGAGCATCCTCCAAGGGCGCTCTCACTATCATTGCTTTTAAAGGCTCTGCAACCTACAGAGGCAAATTGATAAGCACAGAAAGAGTTATTATGCAAACCTATAGATAGAAATGGTGAACCGGTTTGTTATATGATGCATAATAACACAAAAAGTAGTCCAGTTCTTGAACCACACGTGAAAATGGAAACAATTTTTACTGTAAATTTCTTTCGAAATTATCAAATGCACATGAAAATTAGTCAGTTGAAATTCCATTTGTATGAAACCGGCACTGGCAATATTTGATTTTTACTTAATGAGCCATTGTTAGTAATAATTTGACTTGAATCTGTGTGCCAAGGGCTTTAAGAAGAACTCCGCACTCTTTTTCCAGTTGGGCGCGAGCTCTTCCAAAACTCAGTGCAGCTCTCGACAATGTGTTACCACTGCTGCAAGTCTTTTCAGAACCATATTTCCTGCGATCTTCTGATAGCTTGGTACCTGTTGAAAAAGTATTATGTATACCAACTGATAAAACCAACATGAATTTATCCAAACTCCCAAGAAAAGACAATGCATTTCAAGCAACATACCTATTTCACCGTGCTTTGAACTGGCCACAATGTAACCTTCCACTCCGCGGACAATTTCCTTTTGGTAATGCTGTTAAAAAAGAAGCAAAAAACGATAGGTAACACAACTAACGTGATGCTCGTTTAAAGCACAGACAAAAATAAGCGTAGCAACCTTGGCAGCACGAGTTGATATGTACAGCTTCTCGAGTTTCTGATGCTGTTGAAATTCATTTTCATCCGAGGCAACATTATCCGATCCCCCGTATATGCCACCAGAAAATTGTTTGAACACAGCCTGACGGTGTTCACAAAATAATCAAAAGCAAACTCGATAAAACTTCGACTAACTCTTATGCATTAACAAAGCATAGAACGTTGAATTATATGCCATTTTCGCTTGAAGTTTTTCGAAAATGTAAAAATTAAGCATCCAATTAAATCCGAAAATCGATAAGCAATTAGCAACGCCTAGCACAAAATTTCAGAAATTCAGCAACATTGCACTCCAACACAGCCCCAAACAGCTCAGAAATAGTGAAATTCTACTCGAATCGATCCAATTCAATTCGAACAATTATATAAATATTATTTCATTAAGCAATCTCAGTATCTCGCAATCAACGCAGATTATGTTCATATCAAAATCCATAAATACAAATTCGGAATCAAACAAGAGAGAGTACCTGCTGTTGCTTGGCGACCTGATCTCTGAGCTTCCTGATTGCCTCCATCAACGGTTGGTCGGTTGGAGCTCAGCTGTAGGTAGTCTCGATCTTTCAGAGTTTTGCTTCAACACTTGATCTGGAGGCTGATTTGTCTGTTATTTTCCGTTAAATGACCGCCATGTCGCCGCCGTCGTGGTGCGTTTACCTTTCTAACGTTAGTCTCCCACTCCTCTTCATTTCATTCCTTGATGTATTTAGTTTACGTACAGCTGTTCATTGCTTTCTTTCATTTTCCATAAAATATAAATAAAATAACAAACCACTTAGTACTAAAGTCTAATGGTATTCTTCTTCATTTGTAAGTAGAATAGGTTCAATTTTTGCCAAAAACGAATTTGAACCATATTATTGATAATCCATTATGACACTAAACTCACGTAAATAATATCGTTTGTTAAAAATAAAATAATAATAACGAAAAATATTTATGCGGATCCCATTGGGCCTCGTAGCATTAACAAGGCCTGCTTTGAATTCACCAATTCATCCCGGTCTTTTTTCAATTTTGTTGAGAGCCCATTTCAATTTCACTTTTTAATATTTAGTCTATAGTTTAGAGTTTTCGGTTTTTAAAGCTTTTGAAATTGTTAATGATTTTTCTGTTCACATGTTTACCCCTACTTGCCATGTATTCAGATTGCATTTAAAGCTTTTGAAATTGCCTGTCGTTAATTTATTTGATATATATTATTCTATCTAATATCTGTTGTATTGATATTTATGCAATTTACACAATTTCAATGGGGAGCCGAGTCTTTAAGAATGATTTTGTTGTAAACGACAATTAAGATTTGTAACTTTGTCATTTATAAGCAGATTGGATGTTTTTGCTTTCCCCGGTGCCGAAATAATCCCCGCCCCCCCCCCCCCCCCCTCCAAAATAAATCTTGTTTTACTTATTTACCGCTACTCTGCTAGTATAGCTAATGCTGGATGTATTTTATGCTATATTTGATGGCGTTGAACACATTTGAACTTCGGTATCTAGTTGCAAGGGGCTTTAATATCTCAAGCAGTTAAGAGTGCTTAGCTTTGAAGCTGAAGTTTTGAAGGTAGAAAACATCTTGAGAGCAAGGAATGAAAAGATATATCTATATCAAGTCAAATTACAAACTCATGGTGGGCTTGTGGACTAGTGTCGATTCCTTTTTTGGGAGATGGAGGACCAACCTACTAGAGCAAGCGCAAAAAAGAAGCCGACAAATGTGAGGAGCACCTTCCAGCCTCTCAGGCAGTAGTTATTGCTAGCAGCCCTCGTCTTTGCACATGTGTAATCAGGTTCATCCTCTTGTCCTTCTTTGTCTGAAAAACATACAAATAACATAAAATTTATTGGTAACATTTTTGAAATGAATACGGACGCACCTGTAAGTGTTTGGATGGAGTATAATTCAATGCAATACAACAACACAACATACTTGTGTCTTCTTCATCAGAGTCCATGGTGAGGATATCAATGTCATCAATATCTTTTCTTTCATAATTGCCAAGGAAGTATATTCCCGGTTTGCAGTCAAACGTCTTCAAATCTCCACCGATAACAAATGGATAATTAGGATCGGATTTGGTGTTGTGTTGGGTACCCATCTTGTCTTGGTGCTCTTGCACAAGCTCGACACCAAACTCCTTTACCGAAAACAAGTCACGTGGTCCGGTTATTACCGAAACCACCACTTCATCTCCACATTGTAATATTGTTTTATTCTCCATCTTCCAATGGCTCAACCATATCATTTCCTCTCCGTCCCCTGGAATTCCATAGAACTCTGGGGAATAGATCCACTTCAAACCCTTACTCTTGTTTCTCACTTTGATCATTATTGGACCAATATTAGGTCCACTAGAATAATTATTTGAATTTTCCTTTGCATAGGTAGCAAAGATGTTCAAGCCTCGAATTCTGTGACTAGCAAGTAGTATAGGGACAATAAAAGATATCGAAGACTTGGTACTTTTATAGCTGAACAGGTCTAGAACCTCATTCCCAACAAAAAATGTGCTGAATATACCATGTTGATACAGTCCCTATGTATTTGCCACAGTCATCACAACATTACTCAGTCATTTCTTTCCCATTATATATTTAAGACTTACGAGAGAGAGAGAAAAAGAGGCGCACCTGGACGGGGACCTCTTTTGGAACCCCGTTTGTGTAGGAAGGATAACGCATTCGAACAGCTGGCATGGATTCCAAGTTGCACAAGCCCAAAAGTTTGATCATTTCCACATCAACTCTATCAATAGGCTCTAACTTGTAATAGTGCTCCCACTCAACAAGATTCCAGTTGTCACGCAAATGTATTGTAACCGGTCGCGGAGGGGAATGATAAGTTATTTTTTTTAATGATATGCATCTGACTATATTTATCTTTTGGTGCACTTCCGGCAACCCCACAAGCGATTCGAGCCTCTCACAACCCCAGAAAGAGAGTTCATCGATCCTCCTCAAACCTTTGATGAAAACTGGCAGACTGCAAATTGGATTCTCATCTAAATGTAGTCTTCGCAAGTATGATAGATTACTTAAACTTTCATAGCTTATTCTTAGTTTAGTCATGATTTCACCATCAGGAATAACTTTTAGCTTCTCCAATGCACTTTCCCATACACCTATACTTCCTCCTGATAAAGAAGAACCCAAAACTTTTAGAGCTAATGAAAGTCCGCCGCTATGTTGCACTAGCTGTTTTGAGTGCTCCATGTATTCTTCTATGGGATGGTCCTGGCCAAAAGCATGCCAACTGAAAAGCTTTAATGATTCATTGTCATCCAAAGTTTGAACTCTGTGCACCTCTGTAACTTGATCAGCCTTTAACAACCTTTCACACCTAGTTGTTATTAGTATCTTACTTCCAGGATAAAACTGATCTTTCATCCTTAGGATTGCATCTAATTGGTCCATATGGTCAACATCATCAAGAACAAGTAGAACTCTTTTAGAGCTTATGGCCCTTTCAATCTTAATTATTCCCTCACTAACACTGTGTATTTTCACTTCTCTGCCGTTCAAAATATCACAAAGAAGTTGCATTTGTATTTGAACTAAGCCATTTGGTCGATCTGCTGTTTTTTTGATATTTTCAATGAAACTACTTCCTTGAAAGCTTCCAAAGTTTGAATTGTAAACATGTTTTGCAATGGTTTTCTTCCCTATTCCAGACATGCCATACACAACAAATATACCAACATCACTTGATCCATCTTGGAACCACAAATTGATGCGTTCGGCTTGAGATTGAATTCCAATCAATTTTGGTTCAACACTCAATGGCGTGCGACTTAACTTGTCTCCTATCACTTTAACAATTTTTTTGATAAACTTTGACTCGTACCTAAGAATTTGCAAACAAAACGAAAAATGAATTGGGAAAATATATAATTACAAAATAAAGGATAAAGTAAATAGTATCAGGATTTACTTTTTAGTGAAAAAATGTGGTTTTTCGTTAAAGTGAACAGTACTGGGAGCTTTTCGTTAAAGTTCCCTTCAAACATATGTTGATTGCCTTTATTTAAATAAGAAAAAAAAAAAAAAAAAGGGACTGCTGACAAAATTAAATTGAAAAAAAAAGAAAGGAATACAGCGCATAATTTATACAAACTATAGACAAATACATGACAGATCACATCCTAACTTTTTTCCACACCAGCTTTCAAAAAAATTTAAGCAACTGGAAACCAGTAGATTAACATGGAAAATGACTAATCCTTAAGTTGAGTTGAGTGTGATTTCTTTAAGTTGACCTAAATTGAGATTATTATTCACTACTGAGATTGAATTAATAAACATATAAAAATCTAGGTCACCACGGATCATACATCAAATTGACCCAAGAAAGAGAAGAGAAATGGAGATAATGAAAGTTACCCATCAGCTTGATTTTGTAAGACCATGCCTGCTAGGTCTGCAATCTCTGCAAGTGCCTTCCTCCATCCCTCCACCTTTTCCGACGACTGATTTTTCTGGCTTCTAGCAAATGCTTTTCCAACACTTCCTGTCTGCTTCCTCACGTGGGACGGATCGACATCGTAGAAGACTGGTAAAACTACATGGTCCGAGGTGGTCCTCTTGCGTTCAAGGATCAGCACAAGCTCATCAAGACACCACCTGGATGAAGCGTAATCTTTCGAAAACACGACAACAGAAGTTCGTGACTGCTGGATCGCTTTCTGCAGTCCTGGCTTTATATCTTCTCCTCTCTCAAGTTCATCGTCGTCTCGGAACGTAAGAAATCCTGCGTTGTTCAAGGCTGTGTAGAGGTGGTCGGTAAAAGTCTTGCGAGTATCTTCGCCTCTGAAGCTCAAGAACACGTTGTAGCGATAACTCCGAAAAGTGTTGGAATCAGAGGAGGTTCCTGGAGATGTTCTCACAAGAGCCATTGATGTGGATCGATTTTCTAACAAAAAACTGGTTTTCTAGGTGCAATGAAAATGTCTGTGAGCAGGGGAAATATGTAATTGGGTCATTTCCATCTACTTCCAGAAAAATTTACGAACAATATTATAAAGGGATTTGAACCAAACACTCCTAATACTGTTTATTTAAAACAATATATATTTTTTTATTCAAAAAAATCAATCATGTATTATTCACTTACAACATCTTTTTATTATTTTCGTTAAAATTTAAATTTAAAATTTTTTTTTATTAATTTTCCTTATTATAAAATGGGCCGTTCCCATCCATTGAACCAAAAAACGTTTCTTTTAAGTCATGGCTGGTAGTGGCAGAGATGAAAAAGAAAAAGAAAAGATTCCTTCTTGTGTTTTGTGTGATTTTATAAATAACAATTATAGTGATCGTTGCTCACCTTTTTATGATACAATGCACTTTTAATTGCACAACCATGTAACATATAAAATGGGTCGTTCCCATACCTTGACCCACCCAAAAAGCGTTTGTTTAAGTCATGGTCGGCCGCTTGTGGCAGAGACGAAAAGAAAAAGAAAAGATTACTTCTTGTTTTACGTGTGATTTTATAAAAAAAAAATTAATAAAAGAAATTTAAAAATTTTGAGTTTTAATAATAAAGATAAAATAAAGGGTAAAATAAATAGTATCAGTATTGACTTTTAATGTAAAAATGTAATTTTTTATTAAAATAAACAGTACCGGAAACTTTTGTTAATGTTCCCTTTTATAAATAACAATTATATTGATCGTTGCTCACCTCTTTGTGATAAAATGCACTTTTAATTGCACAAACATCTTTTGTGATAAAATACAATATATTTTGTTCGTTGCTCAATGCTCATTTCTCATCCTTGAATTGTTGGAACCATTTCTACCAATCAACCCACCAACAAGCGTTTCCAATATCGCCATATCGAAGGTTTATATATTCAACTACAAGATGATTGTCCTAAAGATGATGTGGTTATGAGACAAAAATTAAAACTTGATAGAACCGCATAATAACGTGGCACTTGTAATGTTCAGTTACCTTAATAAGGAAAGTTTAGAAAACTTGAATCTTGTTACATGAATGGTTGAACTTAAGATGGTTGATCGAATTATTGCGCAATTATAAGCTTGCTGTATAGTAACGAGATTTAGTAAGTTGTGTCTATACCCTCGGGGTAGGAATACTGGTTTCTCATTATACAAAATATAATTTAGGGTTGTTTAGATATAGACCCATACAACTCATATACTTCAGATAAAAACCCACCTATGAATAAACATTCAATCAAAACCCAAAATTTAAATAAATTACCAAATAAGAAAATAAGTAACCTATTAATATAAGTTATTTACAATTTATGCCACAACTTTCTATAACTGTTCTCATACAACCATTATTAGCCAACCATTATGGCTAACGTTTTTAACAATTTCTTATATCAGTCTAATAATGAATTAATATAATTCATTAGCATATCTCTTAACTATATAACTTTAGATAAATTATTTTGCGAACACATAAACATATATATGATAGTAAACTATAAAATAGAAGATACATTTTTTGAAAAGTTAAATTGTAGGTAAACTATATTCATACAAAAACAAAATTGTAGATACACTATTGTTGTGAAAAAAAAAAAGAAGGTAAATATTGTATGTAAAATTGTAGATACATTACTGACACAGTAGGTAAATTAGTTTCATATAAAATTAAAAAGTAGGTAAATTATATTCATACAAAAATAAATTGTAGATACATTATTGTTAAATAAAAACATGTAAATTTTTATCCTAAAATTTGAACAATAGATAAATTATTTTTGTACATACATTAATTTTTAAAAAATTAAACAATATGTACATCATTAGCTTCACCAATTATACACAGTAGGTAAATTATTTTTGCTAAAACTAAACAATAAGTAAATTATTTTTTAAGATACATTAGTGTTGTAAAAATTAAATAACAGGTACATTATTTAAATTGAAAAGATAGACTATTTCATTATTTTATTGATAATTATTTTAAAAGATAGACTATTTCATTAAAAAATATATTTAAATTGAAAATTGTTATTAAGATTAAGAAAACTTTCCAAATTAATTCCTATATCAAATTAGAAGCAAATTTTATGAAGTGAGAGAAACATGAATCAACCAAATTCATATAACATGCAATGCATTTAGAATATTTGTGCCTTTTTTATTATTTTATTTTTGTAAAATCATTAATCCTCCTTAAAATCTGCATATGTTTAATTGTGCACATTAAACATGCAAACAGGGGTATTTTAGGCATTAGAAATTTTTAAAATGTCATAATTAATGAATTTGCTTATGTGAAGTCTAGTCATTGGGTTTTATTCGAGTAAAAATGTTATGTCGGGTTTTATATGAAAGAAATTGAGTTTGAGGGGTTAAAGTCATATTTTTAGTATAATTTACAATGTGGTTGCTCCTTTCCGTTAGTAGACATAATGATGAAGGCGACTTTCCTTTTTTATTTTTTTATTTTTATGCATTTCCCTCTTTTTCTCTAGCCTCCTAAGCTTCCTTCCCCTTTTCCCTTCTTTTCTGCTTTTCTTCTTTTCCCTTCTCCTTTTCTCTATTCTCCGAAATTTCCTCTCATTTTCCTCCTTCCCGTTCTACTTTTCCCTTCTCCCTTTCTCCTTTTCTCCTTTTCCTTCCCTCTACCCTCCAGAGTTTCCTTCTCATTTTCCCCTCTCCTTTGACGTCATTATATTTGGGTTGAGATGTGGACCTGCTATTGATGGATGGACAGCCAAGTCAATGCTTGTTTTGGATATAAAATCACTGTAGAATAAAATTGGTAGGAAACAGAAGAAACTGCATATACCTGAGCTTCAGCTTCTTGCCGCATTCTAGCATAACGTTGAGCAAGATGTCGAGCATCCTCCATGGGCGCTCCCACTATAAAGGCTATGCAACCTACACAGGCAAATTGATAAGCACACAAAGAGTTATTATGCAAACCTATAGAAAGAAATGGTGAGCCAGTTTGTCATACGATGCATAGAAACACAAAAAGTAGTCCAATTCTTGAACCACGACGTGGAAATGAAAACAATTTTTGCTGTAAATTTCTTTCGAAATGATCAAATGCACACGAAAATTAGTCAGTTGAAATTCCATTTGTATGAAACTGGCCCTGGCAATATTTGATTTTTACTTAATGAGCCATTGTTAGTAATAATTTGACTTAAACCTGTGTGCCAAGGGCTTTAAGTAGAACTCCGCACTCTTTTTCCATTTGGGCCCGAGCTCTTCCAAAACTCAGTGCAGCTCTCGACAATGTGTTACCACTGGTGCAAGTCTTTTCAGAACCATATTTCCTGCTATCTTCTGATAGCTTCGTACCTGTTGAAAAAGTATTATGTATACCAGCTGATAAAACCAACACGAATTCATATCCAAACTCCCAAGAAAAGACAACGCATTTCAAGCAACATACCTATTTCAACGTGCTTTGAACCGGCCACAATGTAACCTTCCACTCCGCGGACAATTTCCTTTTGGTAATGCTGTTAAAGAAGAAGCAAAAAACGATAGGTAACACAACTAACGTGATGCTCGTTTAAAGCACAGACAAAAATAAGCGTAGCAACCTTGGCAGCACGAGTTGATATGTACAGCTTCTCGAGTTTCTGATGCTGTTGAAATTCATTTTCATCCGAGGCAACATTATCCGATCCCCCATATATGCCACCAGAAAATTGTTTGAACACGGCCTGACGGTGTTCACAAAATAATCAAAAGCAAACTCGATGAAGCTTCGACTAACTCATATGCATTAATGAAGCATGGAACGTTGAATTATATGCCATTTTCGCTTGAAGTTTTCCGAAAATGTAAAAATTAAGCATCCAATTACATCAAAAATTGATAAGTAATTAGCAACACCTAGCTCAAAATTTCAGAAATTCATCAACATTGCACTCCAACACATCCCCAAACAGCTCAGAAATAGTGAAATTCTATTTGAATTCGAATCGATCCAATTCAACTCGAACAATTATATAAATATTATTTCATTAAGCAATCTCAGTATCTCGCAATCAACGCAGATTATGTTCATATCAAAATCCATACAGAAATACAAATTCGGAATCAAACGAGAGGGAGTACCTGCTGTTGCTTGGCGACCTGATCTCTGAGCTTCCGGATTGCATCCATCAACGGTTGGTCGGAGCTCAGCTGTAGGTAGTCTCGATTTTTCAGAGTTGTGCTTCAAGACTTGATCTGGAGGCTGATTTGTCTGTTATTTTCCGTTTAATGACCGCCACGTCGCCGCCGTCGTCTTGCGATTACCTTTCTTTCTTTATCTTGAATTAAACGTTAGTCTCCCACTCTTCTTCATTTCTTAGCTTTTTGTATTTATTTTATGTACAGCTTTTCATTGCTTTCTTTCTTTTTTCTTAAAATATAAAATAAAATAACGAGCCACTCAGATTACGGTTTAGAGGTATTTCTCTAAGTGAGAAGTTTTAGATTCGATTCTTACGAAAAGCAAATTTGAACCACATTATTGTTAGCTCACTGTAACATTAAGCCCATATAAATAATATCGTTTGTTAAACAAAAAACGAAAAATATTTATACATATCCATTGGGCCTCGTAACGTTAATAAGCCCTGCTTTGAATTCAGTAATTCAGCCCAGTCTTTTTTCAATTTTGTTGAGAGCCCATTTCGATTTCACTTTTTAATTTTTAGTCTATAGTATAGAGTTTTCAGTTTTTACTTTTTTGTAAATTAAAAACTGAAAAATTCTTTTTGTAACTATTTTTAGTTTTCAGTTGTTTAAAAAAAAATTAAAATTGAAAACCAAAAGCGAAAATTCTAGGTCAAATTTTGAAAACTTTATTTAGTTTTTTATATTTTTTAAAATTGAAAACGAAATGATTATCAAACGGTCTCTTAATTTACGAAGAATAAAATTGAAACTGGTGTGTAAAGAGAAGAGCACTATGCGCTAACACCCCAAAACTAAAACTATATGGCAAGTAGGGGTAAACATGTGAACAGAAAAATCAGTGAACATAATCAAATCGAACAAGTCAATTTTTGCCTAGATTGGTTTTGTTTATTCCGTTGCAGAGATATTTTAAAGAATCTGAATTGTCACAAGAACAAAGAACTTCTTAAAAGTCAAGCAGTGAAGAACCAAAAGGTGTGTTTTTCAAAATAATGGCTCTTGTAATATCCATGAAATAGGTTTTATTTTTCAATATGAAATTATTGCTACTTGTTTAAAGCTTCTTTTTAAGCCACACTTTAAAGTTGAAAAAATTATTTATACAGTGAATTATTGTCTAATCGATGTTTATTCTTACCCATATTCTATGTTGTTTTTTTCATTTTTCTGAAGTCTCTCTGGCACAAAACTCTTGAGTTCAGATTCTTGCTTCAGAAAGCATTTCCATGCCGGTTACTTGGTCCAACTAAGACCTGTCATGCTGTATCTTGTAGAATAGCCACTTTCAGAAACAAATTGATAGACGAATGGATACACAAAGCATTTATTTCCTTCATAAACAAATCGATACACAAAGCATTTCCTTGTTTTTTTTTTCATTTCAATCTAGGCCAAAATTGACTTATTCGATTTGATTATGTTCTTTGACTTTTCTGTTCACATGTTTACCCCTACTTGCCATATATTCAGATTGCGTTTAAAGCTTTTGAAATTGTTAATGATTGTATCCTCCCAACCTGGTATCCTAGTTAGTTTGCTGCTTTGGATGTGTTGAGTGGATGAACATGATTCTTCGGTTCCCTATGTGAAATTGTTGTGACTTTGTTTTGGAATATCTTAGAGCATCTGTTGAGCAAACTAGGTCAGATTGTTGAATGCTTATTGCATTATGCTTTTGCAGGTACAATGTTCATGAGAAGATAGTAAATTTCTTGGCTCCAGAGACTATGGCCGTTCCTCCTATACTTCCTGACCTCAATAATTTGTTCAGGTGGAAGAAGCAGAAACCAGCTTCTGTAGCGTAGTAGCAATGCAAGGCTGAACCAACTGTAAAGTCCTATCGTTAAATTATTTGATATATATTATTCTATCTAATATCTGTTGTATTGTTATATATGCAATTTACACAATTTCAATGGGGAGCCGAGTCTTTAAGAATGATTTTGTTGTAAACGACAATTAAGATTTGTAAATTTGTCATTCATAAGCAGATAGGATGTTTTTGTTTTCCCCGATGCCAAAATAATCCCTTCCCCCTCCCTAAAAAAAATCTTGCCCGTTATTGCTAAGAGCAATTCCACCCCAGTGGAATTTGCCCAGGATCCAGCACAAAAACAAGGCCAGCACCCTGTCAACCAAGTCCACCCCTTCAACTTGACTGGTACCCAGCCCAAACGAGACTGAGCAAGAAGCTGGGCAGTTTGCCTTGCGCGTGCGCTTCATGGAGGTGCTGGCGCGAGTGCCCGACAAGATTTCAGAAGGCGGGCCCGCGTGGCGCACTCAGTTTCCCCCCCCCCCTCGAGTTGGCGACGTGGCTCCCTTTTCTAGACCGTTGGATTTCCAACGGTAAAAAAATTTAAATTTTACTTTTAAAATAGACTGTCGGATCAAAGATCAACGGTCCACGTTTTTTTTACAAAAAAGTAAAAAAAAAAAAAAAAGGCCCAACGGTCAGAAATATGACTGTTGGCCACGTGGCAACTCCCTGTCTCTTGGATTTGAATATTTTTTCAAATCTAACGGTCCAGATTAATTAACTATATTAAAATTCATTAAAAATTATTAAAAAATACAGAAAATCTTAGCGGAAATCTATTCACAAAATAGTACGTTCAGATAATGACATGTGGTGTGACGAGATTAGTTAAAAATCCTATCCGAAATTAAAACTATTTTATTTTTTTATTCTTTTAGACAACATTTAAAAATATTTTAAATGGGCTGGGTGCCAGCGCATTTTGTAGGGATGAAGATCGTTTGTGCCAACGCATTTTTTTACTAGGTGCCAGCGCATTTTTTTAGGGGTGGAGATGCTTGGCCTATTACTGTTCATTAGAGTCTGTTACTGTTCATTTGAGTGGATAAATGCGCTAGGTGCGGACGCAAAGTCCTTAGGGGTGGAATTGCTCTAAAGATACCTATGTCAAAGTCCATCCCTTACCGTGTGTGGAAGCATTTTTTTGTTTTACTTATTTATTGCTACTCTGCTAGTATAACTAATGCTGGATGTATTTTATGCTATATTTGATGTTTTGAACACATTTTAACTTTGGTATCTAGTTGCAAGGGGCTTTTATATCTCAAGCGGTTAAGCGTGCTTAGCGAACTTGAAGTTTTGAAGATAGAAAACATCCTGAGAGGAATGCAAAGATATATCTATATCAAGTCAAATTACAAACTCATGGTGGGCTTGTGGACGAGTGTCGCTTCTTTTTTTGGGAGATGGAGGACCAACCTACTAGAGCAAGCGAAAAAAAGAAGCCGACAGCTGTGAGGCGCACCTTCCAGCCTCTCAAGCTGCAGTTATTGCTAGCAGCCCTCGTCTTTGCAATTGTGTAATCAGGTTCATCCTCTTGTCTTTCTTTGTCTGAAAAACATACAAATAACATAACATTTATTGGAAACATTTTTGAAATGAATACGGACCACACATGGAAGTGTTTGGATGGAGTATAATTCAATGCTATACAACAACACAACATACTTGTGTCTTCTTCATCAGAGGCCATGGTGAGGATATCAATGTCATCAATATCTTTTCTTGCATAATTGCCAAGGAAGTATATTCCCGGTCTGCGCTCAAACATCTTCAAATCTCCACCGATAACAAATGGATAATTAGGATCGGATTTGGTGTTGTGTTGGGTACTCATCTTGTCTTGGTGCTCTTGCACAAGGTCGACACCAAACTCCTTTACCCAAAACATGTCACGTGGTCCGGTTATTACCGAAACCACCACTTCATCTCCACATTGTAATATTGTTTTATTCTCCATCATCCAATGGCTCAACCATATCATATTTTCTCCGTCACCTGGAATTCCGTAGAACTCAGGGTCATAGATCAACTTCAGACCCTTACTCTTGTTTCTCACTTTGATCATTATTGGAGCAATAATAGGTCCAGTAGAATAATTATTTGAATTTTCCTTTGCATAGGTAGCAAAGATGTTTAAGCCTCGAATTCTGTGACTAGCAAGTAGTAAAGGGACAATAAAAGATATCGAGGACTTGGTACTTTTATAGCTGAACAGGCCTGGAACCTCATTCCTAACAAAAAAGGTGCTGAATATACCATGTTGATACAGTCCCTATGTATTTGCCACAGTCATCACAACATTACTCAGTCATTTCTTTCCCATTATATATTTAAGACTTATGAGAGAGAGAGAAAAAGAGGCGCACCTGGACGGGGACGTCTATTAGATCCCAGTTTGTGAGTGGATGATGCATTCGAACAGCTGGCATGGATTCCAAGTTGCACAAGCCCAAAAGTTTGATCATTTCCACATCAACTCTATCAATAGGCTCTAACTTGTAAAAACACTCCGCCTCAACAAGATTCCGGTTGTCATTGTAAATTACACGTGATAGATGATGTTGCCCAGGGGAATGAAAAGTTATTTTTTTAATGATATGCATCTGACTATACTCATTATTTGGTGTACTTCCGGCAACCCCACAAGCGATTCAAGCCTATCACAACCCTTGAAAGAGAGTTTATCGATCCTCCTCAAACCTTTGATGAAAACTGGCAGACTGCAAATTGGATTCTCATCTAAATGTAGTCCTCGCAAGTAGGATAAATTACTTAAATCCGTAGGAAAGACATCATCAGAAAGATTGCATCCCTTCAGACTTAACTCTACTAAAGAGCGTGGAAAAGAACTCAAGATAGTTGAACTTCTTTCTGGCCACAATTCACTTATTGGAATTCCATCTGTCTCAAGAACTTTCAGAGACTCCATCTTCTTCATCATCTCCAAGGGAAACTCATCAAGATTTGAGCAACCAGATAAAATGAGCGTTTCAAGTGATTTAAGCATGCACATGTTCTTCGGAAGCTTCCTAAGATTCTTGCAATCCTTCATATTCAAGTACACGAGTCGCTCTAGGTTTCCAATGGATTCATGAACATTCTTCAGGCTTGTGCAATCTACAAGAATCAGTTCCTCTAGATTGGGGAAAAGTGAGAAGTCAATGGTTTCACTAAGGCCATGAGAATGGCTGACGTCAAGGATCTTCAACGATGGAAGAAACTGTGGAAACAGAGGGAAAAAAAGAAAAGAAAAAAGAACAATGAAATAAGTATCTAACATAAGAAATTAGTCATCGAATTAAAGAAAACATAGTAGTTCATTTTAACACATGGAGTTAGTCAACAAATAAGAAACTAACACAATAAGGAAAATGAATTGAAATGCATAGAGTAACATACTTTTGTTCCTTTGCATACTTGTCTCAAGCTACTGTATTGCATTTCAAGAACAATTACGTTCTCCAAAGGAAAATCAATTGGTATAGAATCCAAAGGATATTCAAGCCAACACACCCATCTTAATCCTGTAGGGAAATCTGCATAACATCCATCCAGTCGTACATGACTAAGATGGAGTAGTTGTAAATTACACATCCTTGCAAATGCATTGGTTTCCAAGACTATCTCATTTGTGTTTATTGGACTGTTTGCAGGATGATTACGCATATCCAGGACAAGACCTTGGATTTTTTTTGTACCCTAAAGGAAAAAAAAAGACATTAATATGCATAATTTTCACAAGAAGGAATACATATATAGACATAAAAGGCATGTTTCTTACATTCTTTTTCCTCAATACTTGGAAAGAATCCTTATGGCGCCATAATCTACTCCGTTCCTCAAGCTCTTCTGATTCTTGGCGAACAATTTCTCTTCCCATAGCACGAATCATGTCATGCATTTTCACCTTGCCGTGTTCATCAAGTGTCACCAAGCATCTATCAATGAGAGTTTGAATGCCAATGATTGTATAGAAATCACATCCATCGAGTATTCTAACAATGTAGCTTTTGTTCCTTCCTATTAGGAAACAAGCAATGTGGAGGAATAATTTCCGATCATGGTCATCTTTTAAACTTTCATAGCTTATTCTTAGTTTATTCATGATTTCACCATCAGGAATAACTTTTAGCTTCTCCAATGCACTTTCCCATACACCTATACTTTCCCCTGATAAAGAAGAACCCAAAACTTTTAGAGCTAATGGAAGTCCGTCGCTATGTTGCACAAGCTGTTTTGAGTGCTCCATGTATTCTTCTATGGGATGGTCCTGGCCAAAAGCATGCCAACTGAAAAGCTTTAATGATTCATTGTAATACAAAGTCCGAACTCTGTGCACCTCTGTAACTTGATCTGCCTTTAGCAACCTTTCACGCCTAGTTGTTATTAGTATCTTACTTCCCGGATAAAACTGATCTTTCATCCTTAGGATTGCATCTAATTGGTCCATATGGTCAACATCATCAAGAACAAGTAGAACTCTTCTAGAGCTTATGGCCCTTTCAATCTTAATTATTCCCTCACTAACACTGTGTATTTTCACTTCTCTGCCGTTCAAAATATCACAAAGAAGTTGCATTTGTATTTGAACTAAGCCATTTGGTCGATCTGCTGTTTCTTTGATATTTTCAATGAAACTACTTCCTTGAAAGCTTCTAAAGTTTGAATTGTAAACATGTTTTGCAATGGTTGTCTTCCCGATTCCAGACATGCCATACACAACAAATATACCAACACCACTTGATCCATCTTGTAACCACAAATTGATGCGTTCGGCTTGATATTGAATACCAATCAATTTTGGTTCAACACTCAATGGCATACGACTTAACTTGTCTTCTATCACTTTAACAATTTTTTCGATAAACTTTGCCTCGTACCTAAGAATTTGCAAACAAAATGAAAAATGAATTGGGGAAATTAGATAATTAAAACATATGTTGATTGCCTGACAAAATTAAATTGAAAAAAAAAGGAATACAGCGCATAATCTATACAAACTATAGACAAATACAAAACAGATCACATCCTAACTTTTTTCCACACCAGCTTTCAAAAAAAATTTAAGCAACTGGAAACCAGTAGATTAACATGGAAAATGACTAATCCTTAAGTTGAGTTGAGTGTGCTTTCTTTAAGTTGACCTGAATTGGGATTATTATTCACTACTGAGATTGAATTAATAAATATATAAAAATCTATGTCACTACGGATCATACATCAAATTGACCCAACAAAGAGAAGAGAAATGGAGATAATGAAGGTTACCCATCAGCTTGATTTTGTAAGACCATGCCTGCTAGGTCTGCAATCTCTGCAAGTGCCTTCCTCCATCCCTCCACCTTTTCCGGCGACTGATTTTTCTGGCTTCTAGCAAATGCTTTTCCAACACTTCCTGTCTGCTTCCTCACGTGGGACGGATCGACATCGTAGAAGACTGGTAAAACTACATGGTCCGAGGTGGTCCTCTTGCGTTCAAGGATCAGCACAAGCTCATCAAGACACCACTTGGATGAAGCGTAATCTTTCGAAAACACGACAACAGAAGTTCGTGACTGCTGGATCGCTTTCTGCAGTCCTGGCTTTATATCTTCCCCTCTCTCAAGTTCATCGTCGTCTCGGAACGTAAGAAATCCTGCGTTGTTCAAGGCTGTGTAGAGGTGGTCGGTAAAAGTCTTGCGAGTATCTTCGCCTCTGAAGCTCAAGAACACGTCGTAGCGATAACTCCGAAAAGTGTTGGAATCAGAGGAGGTTCCTGGAGATGTTCTCACAAGAGCCATTGATGTGGATCGATGTTCAAACAAAAAGAACTGGTGTTTGCTAGATTCAAAATTTCAGAAATTCAGCAACAATACACTCCAACACAGCCCCAAACAGCTCAGAAATAGTGAAAAATCTATTCGAATTCGATCCAATTCAATTTGAACAATTATATAAATATTATTTCATTAAGCAATCTTAGTATCTCGCAATCAACGCAGATTATGTTCATATCATAATCCATACAGAAATACAAATTCGGAATCAAACAAGAGAGAGAGTACCTGCTGTTGCTTGGCGACTTGATCTCTGAGCTTCCGGATTGCATCCATCAACGGTTGGTCGGAGCTCAGCTGTAGGTAGTGTCGATTTTTCAGAGTTGTGCTTCAAGACTTGATCTGGAGGCTGATTTGTCTGTTATTTTCCGTTAAATGACCGCCACGTCGCCGCCGTCGGGGTGCGATTACCTTTCTTTCTTTATCTTGAATTAAACGTTAGTCTCCCACTCTTCTTCATTTCATTCCTTTTTGTATTTAGTTTATGTACAGCTTTTCATTGCTTTCTTTCTTTTTTCTTAAAATATTAAATAAAATATCAGGACTATGATTTAGTGGTATTCCTCTTCATTTGTAAGCGAGAAGTTTTAGGTTCGATTCTCGTCAAAAATAAATTTGAACCACATTATTGTTAGCCTATTGTAAGGTTAAGCCCATATAGATAATATCGTTTGTTAAAAAAAAACAAAAAATATTTATACAGATCCATTGGGCCTCGTAGCGTTAATAAGCCCTGCTTTGAATTCAGTAATTCAGCCCAGTCTTTTTTCAATTTTGTTGAGAGCCCATTTCGATTTCACTTTTTAATTTTTAGTCTATAGTTTAGAGTTTTCAGTTTTTACTTTTTTGTAAATTAAAAACTGAAAAAAAAATTTGTAACTATTTTTAGTTTTCAGTTGTTAAAAAAAAAAATTAAAAACCAAAAGCGAAAAATTCTAGGTCAAATTTAGAAAACTTTATTTAGTTTTTTATATTTTTTAAATTGAAAACGAAATGATTATCAAACGGTCTCTTAATTTACAACGAATACAAATGAAACAGGTGTGTAAAGAGAAGAGCACTATGCACTAACACCCCAAAACCATATGGCAAGTAAGGGGTAAACATGTGAATAGAAAAATCAGTGAACATAATCAAATCGAATAAGTCAATTTTGGCCTAGATTGGTTTTGTTTATTCCATCGCAGAGATATTTTAAAGAATCTGAATCGTGACAAGGACGAAGATCTTCTTAAAAGTCAAGTAGTGAAGAACCAAAAGGTGTGTCTTTCAAAATAATGGCTCTTGTAATATCCAGGTTTTATTTTTCAATATGAAATTATTGCTACTTGTTTAAAGCTTCTTTTTAAGCCACACTTTAAAGTTGAAAAAATGTTTTATACAGTGAATTATTGTTTGATCGATGTTTATTCTTACCCATATTCTATGTTGTTTTTTTTCATTTTTCTGAAGTCTCTCTGGCACAAAGCTCTTGAGTTCAGATTCTTGCTTCAGAAAGCATTTCCATGCCGGTTGCTTGGTCTAACTAGGACCTGTCATGCTGTATCTTGTAGAATAGCCACTTTCAGAAACAAATCGATAGACAAATGGCAAAGGAAGACAAAGGTAACCACAGGTTTTATTTCCATGAAATAGGTTTTATTTCCTTCAAAAACAACAAAGCATTTCCTTGTTTTTTTTTCATTTCAATCTAGGCCAAAATTGACGTATTGGATTTGATTATGTTCACTGATTTTTTCTGTTCACATGTTTACCCCTACTTGCCATGTATTCAGATTGCATTTAAAGCTTTTGAAATTGTTAATGATTGTATCCTCCCAACCTGGTATCCTATGTGAAATTGTTAGTTTGCTGCTTTGGATGTGTAGAGTGGACGAACATGATTCTTCGGTTCCCTATGTGAAATTGCTGTGACTTTGTTTTGGAATATCTTGGAGTATCTGTTGAGAAAACTAGGTCAGATTGTTGAATGCTTATTGCATTATGCTTTTGCAGGTACAATGCCCAAAAGAAGATAGTAAATTTCATGGCTCCAGAGACTATGGTCGTTCCTCTTATACTTCCTGACCTCAATAATTTGTTCAGGTTGAAGAAGCAGAAACCAGCTTCTGTAATGTAGTAGCGAATGCAAGGCTGAACCAGCTGTAAAGTCCTTGGATCTCAGGCTAAGAAATTGCTTGTCGTTAATTTATTTGATATATATTATTCTATTTAATATCTGTTGTATTGATATTTATGCAATTTACACAATTTCAATGGGGAGCCGAGTCTTTAAGAATGATTTTGTTGTAAACGACAACTAAGATGGGATGTTTTTGTTTTCCCCGGTGCCGAAATAATCCACCTCCTCCCAAAAACAAAAAAATCTTGCCCGTTATTGCTAAAGATTCCTATGTAAAGTCCTTCCCTTACCATGTGTGGAAGCATTTTTTGGTTTTACTTATTTACTGCTACTATGCTAGTATCGCTAATGCTGGATGTATTTTATGCTATATTTGATGGCGTTGAACACATTTGAACTTCGGTATCTAGTTGCAAGGGGCTTTTATATCTCAAGCGGTTAAAGTGCTTAGCTCTAAACTTGAAGTTTCGAAGGTAGAAAACATCTTGAGAGCAAGGAATGCAAAGATATATCTATATCAAGTCAAATTACAAACTCATGGTGGGCTTGTGGACGAGTGTCGCTTCTTTTTTTGCGAGATGGAGGACCAACCAACTAGAGCAAGCGCGAAAAAGAAGCCGACAGCTGTGAGGCGCACCTTCCATCCTCTTAGGCTGCAGTTATTGCTAGCTGCCATCGTCTTTGCAATTGTGTAATCAGGTTCATCCTCTTGCCCTTCTTTGTCTGAAAAACATACAAATAACATAAAATTTATTGGAAATGTTTTTGAAATGAATACGGACACACCCGGAAGTGTTTGGATGGAGTATAATTCAATGCTATACAACAACACAACATACTTGTGTCTTCTTCATCAGAGTCCATGGTGAGGATATCAATGTCGTCAGTATCTTCTCGTCTCCTACAGCTAAGGAAGTATATTCCTGGTTTGCACTTCCACGTCTTCAAATCTCCACCGATAACAAATGGATAATTAGGATCTGATTTGGTGTTGTGTTGGGTACTCATCTTGTCTTGGTGCTCTTGCACAAGCTCGACACCAAACTCCTTTACCAAAAACAAGTCACGTGGTCCGGTTATTACCGAAACCACCACTTCATCTCCACATTGTAATATTGTATTATTCTCCATCTTCCAATGGCTCAACCATATCATATCTTCTCCGTCACCTGGGATTCCATAGGATAATGGGCAATAGATCCACTTCAAACCCTTGCTCTTGTTTCTCACTTTGATCATTATTGGAACAATAATAGGTCCAGTAGAATAATTATTTGAATTTTCCTTTGCATAGGTAGCAAAGATGTTCAAGCCTCGAATTCTGTGACTAGCAAGTAGTAAAGGGACAATAAAAGATATCGAATACTTCGTACTTTTATAGCTGAACCGGCCTGGAACCTCATTCCCAACAAAAAAAGTGCTGAATACACCAAATTGATACAGTCCCTATGTATTTGCCACAGTCATCACAACATTACTCAGTAATTTCTTTCCCATTATATATTTAAGACTTATGAGAGAGAGAAAGAGAGGCGCACCTGGACGGGGACCTCTTTTGGATCCCTGTATGTGTATGAATTACGCATTTGAACAGCTGGCATGGATTCAAAGTTGCACAAGCCCATAAGTTTGATCATTTTCACATCAACTCTATCAAAAGGCTGTAACTTGTAACAGCAATTACAGTTATTCGAGTTGTCACCCCCACGTACTAGATACGGTTGCTCAGGGGAATGAAAAGTTATTTTTTTTAATGATATGCATCCGGCTATACTTAGCCATTGGTGTACTTCCGGCAACCCCACAAGCGATTCGAGCCTATCACAACCCTTGAAAGAGAGTTCATCGATCTTCCTCAAACCTTTGATGAAAACTGGCAGACTGCAAATTGGATAGATTACTTAAATCCGTAGGAAGGACATCATCAGAAAGATTGCACCCCTTCAGACTTAACTCTACTAAAGAGCATGGAAAAGAACTCAAGATAGTTGAACTTCTTTCTGGCCACAATTTACCTATTGGAAGTCCATCTGTCTCAAGAACTTTCAGAGACTCCATCTTCATCATCTCCATTGGAAACTCATCAAGATTTGAGCAACCAGATAAAATGAGTGTTCAAGTGATTTAGGGCTGGTTTGGTATTGCTGTGCTTTGAAAAAAAGCTGCTGTAAGAATAAGCAGCTGTGCTGTGAGAATAAGCGGCTGTGAAATAAAGCCAGTAGAGTGTTTGGTAAACTTTTTTGTGAAAGTGCTTTTGGAAAAAAAAGCAGGATGATAGTGTGTCTTTTCATTAAAGGAGCACTGTAGCTCCGTGTGCTTTGAAAAAACTGGCTTTTTTTCAAAGCAGCAAATAGCAGCTTCAGCTTTTTCTTTGATTTTCAGCTTATTCTCACAGCAGCTTCCAAAATAAGCCCTTTTTTTTCAGTTTACCAAACACAAAAATGATCCTCAGCTTTTTTTGACAGTGGCTTTTTTTAAAATCACCTCAATCCCAAACGGGGCCTTAAGCATGCACATGTTCTTCGGAAGCTTCCTAAGATTCTTGCAATCCTTTATATTCAAGTACACGAGTCTCTCCAAGCTTCCAATGGATTCATGAACATTCTTCAGGCTTGTGCAATCTACAAGAATCAGTTCCTCTAGATTGGGGAAAAGTGAGAAGTCAATGGTTTCACTAAGGCCATGAGAATGGCTGACGTCAAGGATCTTCAACGATGGAAGAAACTGTGGAAACAGAGGGAAAAAAAAGAAGAAAAAATAACAATGAAATAAGTATCTAATATAAGAAATTAGTCATTGAATTAAAGAAAACATAGTAGTTCATTTTAACACACGAAGTTAGTCAACAAATAAAAAACTAACAAAATAAGGAAAATGAATTGAAATGCATAGAGTAACATACTTTTGTTCCTTTGCATACTTGTCTCAAGCTACTGTATTGCATTTCCAGAACAATTACGTTCTCCAAAGGAAAATCAATTGGTATAGAATCCAAAGGAAATTCAAGCCAACACAACCATCTTAATCCTGTAGGGAAATCTGCATAACATCCATCCAGTCGTACATGACTAAGATGGAGTAGTTGTAAATTGCACATCCTTGCAAATGCATTGGTTTCCAAGACTATCTCATTTGTGTTTATTGGACTGTTTGCAGAATGATTACGCATATCCAGGACAAGACCTTGGATTTTTTTTGTACCCTAAAGGAAAAAAAAAAGACATTAATATGCATAATTTTCACAAGAAGAAAGACATATATAGACATAAAAGGCATGTTTCTTACATTCTTTTTCCTCAATACTTGGAAAGAATCCTTATGGCGCCATAATCTACTACGTTCCTCAAGCTCTTCTGATTCTTGGCGAACAATTTCTCTTCCCATAGCACGAATCATGTCATGCATTTTCACCTTGCCGTGTTCATCAAATGTCACCAAGCATCTATCAATGAGATTTTGAATGCCAATGATTGTATAGAAATCACATCCATCGAATATTCTAACAATGTAGGTTTTGTTCCTTCCTATTAGGAAACAAGCAATGTGGAGGAATAATTTCCGGTCATGGTCATCTTTTAAACTTTCATAGCTTATTCTTAGTTTGTTTATGATTTCACCATCAGGAATAACTTTTAGCTTCTCCAATGCACTTTCCCATACACCTATACTTTCCCCTGATAAAGAAGAACCCAAAACTTTTAGAGCTAATGGAAGTCCGTCGCTATGTTGCACTAGCTGTTTTGAGTGCTCCATGTATTCTTCTATGGGATGGTCCTGGCCAAAAGCATGCCAACTGAAAAGCTTTAATGATTCATTGTAATCCAAAGTTTGAACTCTGTGCACCTCTGTAACTTGATCTGCCTTTAGCAGCCTTTCACGCCTAGTTGTTATTAGTATCTTACTTCCAGGATAAAACTGATCCTTCATCCTTAGGATTGCATCGAATTAGTCCATTTGGTCAACATCATCAAGAACAAGTAGAACTCTTCTAGTGCTTATGGCCCTTTCAATCTTAATTATTCCCTCACTAACACTGTGTATTTTCACTTCTCTGCCGTTCAAAATATCACAAAGAAGTTGCATTTGTATTTGAACTAAGCCATTTGGTCGATCTGCTGTTTCTTTGATATTTTCAATGAAACTACTTCCTTGAAAGCTTCCAAAGTTTGAATTGTAAACATGTTTTGCAATGGTTGTCTTCCCTATTCCAGACATGCCATACACAACAAATATACCAACATGACTTGATCCATCTTGTAACCACAAATTGATGCGTTCGGCTTGAGATTGAATTCCAATCAATTTTGGTTCAACACTCAACGACGTACGACATAACTTGTCTCCTATCACTTCAACAATTTTTTTGATAAACTTTGACTCGTACCTAAGAATTTGCAAACAAAATGAAAAATGAATTGGGGAAATTAGATAATTAAAACATATGTTGATTGCCTTTTTAAATAAGAAAAAAAAAAGAGGACTGCTGACAAAATTAAATTGAAAAAAAAAAGGAATACAGCGCATAATTTACACGAACTATAGACAGATCACATCCTAACCTTTTTCCACACCAGCTTTCAAAAAAATTTAAGCAACTGGAAACCAGTAGATTAACATGGAAAATGACTAATCCTTAAGTTGAGTTGAGTGTGATTTCTTTAAGTTGACCTAAATTGAGATTATTATTCACTACTGAGATTGAATTAATAAACATATAAAAATCTAGGTCATTACGGATCATACATCAAATTCACCCAGGAAAGATGAGAAATGGAGATAATGAAAGTTACCCATCAGCTTGATTTTGTAAGACCATGCCTGCTAGGTCTGCAATCTCTGCAAGTGCCTTCCTCCATCCCTGCACCTTTTCCGGCGACTGATTTTTCTGGCTTCTAGCAAATGCTTTTCCAACACTTCCTGTCTGCTTCCTCACGTGGGACGGATCGACATCGTAGAAGACTGGTAAAACTACATGGTCCGAGGTGGTCCTCTTGCGTTCAAGGATCAGCACAAGCTCATCAAGACACCAACTGGATGAAGCGTAATCTTTCGAAAACACGACAACAGAAGTTCGTGACTGCTGGATCGCTTTCTGCAGTCCTGGCTTTATATCTTCTCCTCTCTCAAGTTCATCGTCGTCTCGGAACGTAAGAAATCCTGCGTTGTTCAAGGCTGTGTAGAGGTGGTCGGTAAAAGTCTTGCGAGTATCTTCGCCTCTGAAGCTCAAGAACACGTCGTAGCGATAACTCCGAAAAGTGTTGGAATCAGAGGAGGTTCCTGGAGATGTTCTCACAAGAGCCATTGATGTGGATCGATTTTCTAACAAAAAACTGGTTTTCTAGGTGCAATGAAAATGTCTGTGAGCAGGGGAAATATGTAATTGGGTCATTTCCATCTACTTCCAGAAAAATTTACAAACAATATTATAAAGGGGATTTGAACGAAATTTTAATAAAAAATTATACTTTTACTAAAAAAATCAATTATGTACTATTTATTTACAACATCTTTTTATTATTAAAACTTAAAATTTTTAAATTTTTTTAATTAATTTTTCTTATTATAAAATAGGTCGTTCCCATCCATTGAACCAAAAAGCGTTTCTTTTAAGTCATGGTCGGCTGGTAGTGGCAGAGATGAAAAAGAAAAAGAAAAGATTCCTTCTTGTGTTTTGTGTGATTTTATAAATAACAATTATATTGATCGTTGCTCACATTTTTATGATAAAATGCACTTTTAATTGCACAACCATGTAACATATAAAATGGGTCGTTCCCATACATTGACCCATCCAAAAAGCGTTTCTTTAAGTCATGGTCGGCCGCTAGTGGCAGAGATGAAAAGAAAAAGAAAAGATTACTTCTTGTTTTACGTGTGATTTTATAAAAAAAAATTAATAAAAAAATATGAAAATTTTAAGTTTTAATAATAAAGATAAAATAAAGGATAAAATAAATAACGTGGCACTTGTAATGTGGTTATGAGACAAAAATTAAAACTTGATAGAATCGCATAATAACGTGACACTTGTAATGTTCAGTTACCTTCATAAGGAAAGTTTGGAAAAACTTAAATCTTGTTACATGTATGGTTGAACTTAAGATGATTGATCGAATTATTGTGCAATTATAAACTTGCTGTATAGTAACGAGATTCAGCAAGTTGTGTCTATACCCTCAGGGTAGGAATACTGGTTTCTCATTATACAAAATATAATTTACAATGTGGTTGCTCCTTTCCGTTAGTAGACATAATGATGAAGGCGACTTTCCTTTTTTATTTTTTTATTTTTATGCATTTCCATCTTTTTCTCTAGCCTCCTAAGCTTCCTTCCCCTTTTCCCTTCTTTTCTGCTTTTCTTCTTTTCCCTTCTCCCTTTCTCTATTCTCCGAAATTTCCTCTCATTTTCCTCCTTCCCGTTCTACTTTTCCCTTCTCCCTTTCTCCTTTTCCCCTTTTCCTTCCCTCTACCCTCCAGAGTTTCCTTCTCATTTTCCCCTCTCCTTTGACGTCATTATATTTGGGTTGAGATGTGGACCTGCTATTGATGGATGGACAGCCAAGTCAATGCTTGTTTTGGATATAAAATCACTGTAGAATAAAATTGGTAGGAAACAGAAGAAACTGCATATACCTGAGCTTCAGCTTCTTGCCGCATTCTAGCATAACGTTGAGCAAGATGTCGAGCATCCTCCATGGGCGCTCCCACTATAAAGGCTATGCAACCTACACAGGCAAATTGATAAGCACACAAAGAGTTATTATGCAAACCTATAGAAAGAAATGGTGAGCCAGTTTGTCATACGATGCATAGAAACACAAAAAGTAGTCCAATTCTTGAACCACGACGTGGAAATGAAAACAATTTTTGCTGTAAATTTCTTTCGAAATGATCAAATGCACACGAAAATTAGTCAGTTGAAATTCCATTTGTATGAAGCCGGCCCTGGCAATATTTGATTTTTACTTAATAGCCTCTGTTAGTAATAATTTGACTTAAACCTGTGTGCCAAGGGCTTTAAGTAGAACTCCGCACTCTTTTTCCATTTGGGCCCCACCTCATCCAAAACTAAGTGCAGCTCTCGACAATGTGTTATCACTGGTGCAAGTCTTTTCAGAACCATATTTCCTGCTATCTTCTGATAGCTTGGTACCTGTTGAAAAAATATTATGTATACCAACTGATAAAACCAGCATGAATTCATATCCAAACTCCAAAGAAAAGACAACGCATTTCAAGCAACATACCTATTTCAACGTGCTTTGAACCGGCCACAATGTAACCTTCCACTCCGCGGACAATTTCCTTTTGGTAATGCTGTTAAAGATGAAGCAAAAAAACGATAGGTAACACAACTAACGTGATGCTCGTTTAAAGCACAGACAAAAATAAGCGTAGCAACCTTGGCAGCACGAGTTGATATGTACAGCTTCTCGAGTTTCTGATGCTGTTGAAATTCATTTTCATCCGAGGCAACATTATCCGATCCCCCATATATGCCACCAGAAAATTGTTTGAACACAGCCTGACGGTGTTCACAAAATAACCAAAAGCAAACTCGATCAAGCTTCGACCAACTCTTATGCATTAATGAAGCATAGAACGTTGAATTATATGCCATTTTCGTTTGAAGTTTTCCGAAAATGTAAAAATTAAGCATCCAATTACATCAAAAATCGATAAGTAATTAGCAACACCTAGCTCAAAATTTCAGAAATTCATCAACATTGCACTCCAACACATCCCCAAACAGCTCAGAAATAGTGACATTCTATTTGAATTCGAATCGATCCAATTCAACTCGAACAATTATATAAATATTATTTCATTAAGCAATCTCAGTATCTCGCAATCAACGCAGATTATGTTCATATCAAAATCCATACAGAAATACAAATTCGGAATCAAACGAGAGGGAGTACCTGCTGTTGCTTGGCGACCTGATCTCTGAGCTTCCTGATTGCATCCATCAACGGTTGGTCGGAGCTCAGCTGTTGGTAGTCTCGATTTTTCAGAGTTGTGCTTCAAGATTTGATCTGGAGGCTGATTTGTCTGTTATTTTCCGTTAAATGACCGCCACGTCGCCGCCGTCGTGGTGCGATCAGCTTTCTTTCTTTATCTTGAATTAAACATTAGTCTCCCACTCTTCTTCATTTCATTCCTTTTTGTATTTATTTTATGTACAGCTTTTCATTGCTTTCTTTCTTTTTTCTTAAAATATAAAATAAAATAACGAATCTATCAGGACTACGGTTTAGTGGTATTCCTCTTCATTTATAAGTGAGAAGTTTTAGGTTCTATTCTTGCGAAAAGCAAATTTGAACCACATTATTGTTAGCCCACTGTAAAATTAAGCCTATATAAATAATATCGTTTGTTAAAAAAAAATGAAAAATATTTATCCAGATCCATTGGGCCTCGTAACGTTAATAAGCCCTGCTTTGAATTCAGTAATTCAGCCCAGTCTTTTTTCAATTTTGTTGAGAGCCCATTTCGATTTCACTTTTTAATTTTTAGTCTATAGTTTAGAGTTTTCAGTTTTTACTTTTTTATAAATTAAAAAAAAATGAAAAATTCTTTTTGCAACTATTTTTAGTTTTCAGTTGTTTTAAAAAAAATTAAAATTGAAAACCAAAAGCGAAAATTCTAGTTGAAAACTTCATTTAGTTTTTTATATTTTTTAAATTGAAAACGAAATGATTATCAAACGGTCTCTTAATTTACGAAGAATAAAATTGAAACTGGTGTGTAAAGAGAAGAGCACTATGCACTAACACCCCAAAACTATATGGCAAGTAGGGGTAAACATGTGAACAGAAAAATCAGTGAACATAATCAAATCGAACAAGTCAATTTTGGCCTAGATTGGTTTTGTTTATTCCGTCGTAGAGATATTTTAAAGAATTTGAATCGTCACAAGGACGAAGATCTTCTTAAAAGTCAAGTGGTGAAGAACCAAAAGGTGTGTTTTTCAAAATAATGGCTCTTGTAATATCCATGAAATAGGTTTTATTTTTCAATATGAAATTATTGCTACTTGTTTAAAGCTTCTTTTTAAGCCACACTTTAAAGTTGAAAAAACGATTTATACAGTGAATTATTGTCTAATCGAAATTTATTCTTACCCATATTCTATATTGTTTTTTTCATTTTTCTTAAGTCCTCTCCATAAATAGGGGTAAGGCTAGCCGACATTCACCTCTCCCAGACCCTGCGTAAAGCGGGAGCCTTGTGCACTGGGTACGACGACCTCTCTGGCACAAAGCTCTTGAGTACACATTCTTGCTTCAGAAAGCATTTCCATGCCGTTTACTTGGTCTAACTAAGACCTGTCATGTTGTATCTTGTAGAATAGCCACTTTCAGAAACAAATCGATAGACAAATGGCAGAGGAAGACAAAGGTAACCACAGGTTTTCTTTCCATGAAATATGTTTTATTTCCTTCATAAACAAATCGATACACAAAGCATTTCCTTGTTTTTTTCATTTCAATCTAGGCCAAAATTGACGTATTGGATTTGATTATGTTCACTGATTTTTTTGTTCACATGCTTACCCCTACTTGCCATGTATTCGGATTGCATTTATAGCTTTTGAAATTGTTAATGATTGTATCCTCCCAACCTGGTATCCTAGTTAGTTTGCTGCCTTGGATGTGTAGAGTGGATGAACATGATTTTCAATAGTGGGCTTGGAACCTAATGCTGGATGTATTTTATGCTATATTTGATGGCGTTGAACACATTTGAAGTTCAGTATCTAGTTGCAATGGGCTTTTATATCTCAAGCGGTTAAGAGTGCTTAGCTACTAGAGCAAGCACATTTGAAGTCAAATTACAAACTCATGGTGGGCTTGTGGACGATTGTCGCTTCTTTTTTTGGGAGATGGAGGACCAACCTACTAGAGCAAGCGCGAAAAAGAAGCCGACAGCTGTGAGGCGCACCTTCCAGCCTCTCAGGCTGCAGTTATTGCTAGCAGCCCTCGTCTTTGCAATTGTGTAATCAGGTTCATCCTCTTGCCCTTCTTTGTCTGAAAAACATACAAATAACATAAAATTTATTGGAAACGTTTTTGAAATGAATACGGACACACCTGGAAGTGTTTGGATGAAGTATAATTCAATGCAATACAACAACACAACATACTTGTGTCTTCTTCATCAGAGTCCATGGTGAGGATATCAATGTCATCAATTTCTTCTATAAAATAACTGCCAAGGAAGTATTTTCCCGGTCTGTCCTCAAACATCTTCAAATCTCCATCAATAACAAATGGATAATTAGGATCAGATTTGGTGTTGTGTTGGGTACTCATCTTGTCTTGGTGCTCTTGCACAAGCTCGACACCAAACTCCTTGACCCAAAACATGTCACGTGGTCCAGTTATTACCGAAACCACCACTTCATCTCCACATTGTAATATTGTTTTATTCTCCATCTTCCAATGGCTCAACCATATCATATCTTCTCCGTCACTTGGGATTCCATAGAAAAATGGGTCATAGATCCACTTCAGACCCTTACTCTTGTTTCTCACTTTGATCATTATTGGACCAATATTAGGTCTAGTAGAATAATTATTTGAATTTTCCTTTGCATAGGTAGCAAAGATGTTCAAGCCTCGAATTCTGTGACTAGCAAGTAGTAAAGGGACAATAAAAGATATCGAGGACTTGGTACTTTTATAGCTGAACAGGCCTGGAACCTCATTCCCAACAAAAAAGGTGCTGAATATACCATGTTGATACAGTCCCTATGTATTTGCCACAGTCATCACAACATTACTCAGTCATTTCTTTCCCATTATATATTTAAGACTTATGAGAGAGAGAGAAAAAGAGGCGCACCTGGACGGGGACCTCTATTAGATCCCAGTTTGTGAGTGGATGATGCATTCGAACAGCTGGCATGGATTCCAAGTTGCACAAGCCCAAAAGTTTGATCATTTCCACATCAACTCTATCAATAGGCTCTAACTTGTAATAGCACTCACACTCAACAAGATTCGGGTTGTCATGGCAAAATACACGTGTTAGATAATGTTGCCCAGGGGAATGAAAAGTTATTTTTTTTAATGATATGCATTCTTTTATACTTAGCCTTTGGTGTACTTCCGGCAACCCCACAAGCGATTCGAGCCTATCACAACCCTTGAAAGAGAGTTCATCGATCCTCCTCAAACCTTTGATGAAAACTGGCAGACTGCAAATTGGATTCTCATCCAAATGTAGTCTTCGCAAGTAGGATAGAGCACTTAAATCCGTAGAAAAGACATCATCAGAAAGATTGCACCCCTTCAGACTTAACTCTACCAAAGAGCACGGAAAAGAACTCAAGATAGTTGAACTTCTTTCTGGCCACAATTCACCTATTGGAATTCCATCCGTCTCAAGAACTTTCAGAGACTCCATCTTCTTCATCATCTCCACTGGAACCTCATCAAGATTTGAGCAACCAGATAAAATGAGTATTTCAAGTGATTTAAGCTTGCACATGTTCTTCGGAAGCTTCCTAAGATTCTTGCAATCCTTCATATTCAAGTACACGAGTCTCTCCAGGTTTCCAATGGATTCATGAACATTCTCCAGGCTTGTGCAATCTACAAGAATTAGTTCCTCTAGATTGGAGGAACGTGAGAAGTCAATGGTTTCACTAAGACCATGAGAATGGCTGACGTCAAGGATCTTCAACGATGGAAGAAACTGTGGAAACAGAGGGAAAAAAAGAAAAGAAAAAAGAACAATGAAATAAGTATCTAACATAAGAAATTAGTCATCGAATTAAAGAAAACATAGTAGTTCATTTTAACACATGGAGTTGGTCAACAAATAAAAAACTAACAAAATAAGGAAAATGAATTGAAATGCATAGAGTAACATACTTTTGTTCCTTTGCATACTTGTCTCAAGCTACTGTATTGCATTTCAAGAACAATTACGTTCTCCAAAGGAAAATCAATTGGTATAGAATCCAAAGGAAATTCAAGCCAACACAACCATCTTAATCCTGTAGGGAAATCTGCATAACATCCATCCAGTCGTACATGACTAAGATGGAGTAGTTGTAAATTGCACATCCTTGCAAATGCATTGGTTTCCAAGACTATCTCATTTGTGTTTATTGGACTGTTTGCTGGATGGTTACGCATATCCAGGACAAGACCTTGGATTTTTTTTGTACCCTAAAGGAAAAAAAAGAGACATTAATATGCGTAATTTTCACAAGAAGAAATACATATATAGACATAAAAGGCATGTTTCTTACATTCTTTTTCCTCAATACTTGGAAAGAATCCTTATGGTGCCATAATCTACTACGTTTCTCAGGCTCTTCTGATTCTTGGCGAACAATTTCTCTTCCCATAGCACGAATCATGTCATGCATTTCCACCTTGCCGTATTCATCAAGTGTCACCAAGCATCTATCAATGAGATTTTGAATGCCAATGATTGTATAGAAATCACATCCATCGAATATTCTAACAATGTAGCTTTTGTTCCTTCCTATTAGGAAACAAGCAATGTGGAGGAATAATTTCCGGTCATGGTCATCTTTTAAACTTTCATAGCTTATTCTTAGTTTACTCATGATTTCACCATCAGGAATAACTTTTAGCTTCTCCAATGCACTTTCCCATACACCTATACTTCCTCCTGATAAAGAAGAACCCAAAACTTTTAGAGCTAATGGAAGTCCGCCACTATGTTGCACTATCTGTTTTGAGTGCTCCATGTATTCTTCTATGGGATGGTCCTGGCCAAAAGCATGCCAACTGAAAAGCTTTAATGATTCATTGTCATCCAAAGTTTGAACTCTGTGCACCTCTGTAACTTGATCAGCCTTTAACAACCTTTCACGCCTAGTTGTTATTAGTATCTTACTTCCAGGATAAAACTGATCTTTCATCCTTAGGATTGCATCTAATTGGTCCATATGGTCAACATCATCAAGAACAAGTAGAACTCTTTTAGAGCTTATGGCCTTTTCAATCTTAATTATTCCCTCACTAACACTGTGTATTTTCACTTCTCTGCCGTTCAAAATATCACAAAGAAGTTGCATTTGTATTTGAACTAAGCCATTTGGTCGATCTGCTGTTTCTTTGATATTTTCAATGAAACTACTT